CTATGAAATTAACCTGCCAGTAGCTAAAAGGGTGGTCTTTGCAACTGAAGCATGACAGGGCAGTTTCCTGTGTTTGGTTTGGGAGTATAATTTACAATTCAAAACAATTCATTTTGCAAGGACTGCCTTGAGTGCAGTGCTCCTATGGTGACCCAGGCCAGTGTGACAGCTGTTCCCCCATGACCTGAAGAGATATGGGATCATTTGGCCAGCAAATAAGGGGTATGGAAGTGGTGACTAGGAAGGGCTGGAATGGTGGAGTCAAAGATTGATTGATGGGGGGTAAAGGGGAGCTGTGGTTTTGTGGTAGTGGATGGAGCAGATGGAGTTGTTGGTAAATCGTTGGTTGAGAGCCATGAATGGTGGTGACATGGATTTGGGCAAGGTCATCCACTTTGCAGTTAAAGATAGATTCTGGTGTGCTCACTTTTGTATGTAGTGAAATGTGGGTAACCTTAATTGTGGTTGGTGCCTGGGCAATGTCATCCTAAATTGGGGCACCCCAAATGGGATGGCTTTGAGTGTGAAAATTGTCCTGCTATTGGCCTGACCAAACTGTTAGCCAGTTAGCAACCTCTCATGAGTCAGTAAAAATATGGACAGGAGGCTTGTCAAGGGCAGTGACACGCTGCACAGCTTTTTGTACTGCCACAAGTTCAGCAAGCTGAGCCTCCCCTGACTTGCCATCTTTGACAAGTATGGTGCTACTGGCAGGAAGGTACACCACTGCTTTTCATAAAGCTCTCCTGTGTACAGTGGTGGCACTGCCATCTGTGAAGTACAGACTCCCTTTCTTATTCTGTCAGCTCTTTCCAGGGGCTACCCCAGGTCTCCAGAGGTTTAAGCAGTGAGGGCACCATCACCAATTCCTCAAGGTCCGTGGGCAGGGGACTGAGGATCAGAGAAACCACATCCTTCTATAATTTGGAAAGACCTACTCTGTCAGGTTAGTCCATTACTGAAGGTACCATTTTCATTTTAGCAAAGAAACATTTGTGGTCATGCCTAGCTGCTATTGGGAGGAATGACGTAATAGGAATGTGGGTACACAGGAAAATGGGCTCTGTCTGTGAGGGCTTCTATTTCTAAAAAGCCCAATAAGCACCCAGAATTTGATGTTCTCAGAGAGTATAGTAAGGTGCAATGGAGAGCAACTGTCTAGTCTGAAAGTCCATAGTCTGAAAGTCCATAGGCAGCCAGGAGGAGCCGTGTTTAGTCTATAAGGGTCTAGGATACATAGTCCATGGTGGCCAGTGTCTCAGCCTAGAAGGAGGAACCAAGGGAAGGGCTTGATGAATTGACCTTTGTGCCAACTGTAGAGCTTGTTGTGGAGCTACTCCCCAATAAAATGTAGAGGATTTGCATGGGATTGCATAAATGGGTCTAAGAATGATGGATAAATGTGGTGTATGTTACCTCCAAAATGTGAAGACTCAAGATGCATTGGCCTTGCTGTAGCATGGTAGGAGGCTGAACAGTTAACAATTTACATGTAACTGCAAGCGGAATTTCCTTGCCTTTAGAGGATCAGTTAATGCCCAGAAATCTAACAGTTGTGGCAGGCCCTTGAATTTTATGTAGGGCAGTAGCCCAACCTCTAGATTGTAGGTGAGTCACCAGCTGTGTTAGGGCCTTGAACATTGAGTCATCCTCTGAGGGACCCCAATATTAGAATGTTATCAGTATGGGGCAAAGGGGCACTGGAAGGGCATCCAGGACTTGCCAGTAAAGATTGTGGGCAATGGCCAGGCTATTAAAATAAGATTATAGGCAGCTGGGTAAAGATGTATTAGAGGCCTTCAAAAGTGAAAGCAGATTGCAGCTGTGACTCCTTGGCAATTGATACTGAATAGAACATATTAGTTAGATCAGTCATGGCAAAGTAAGTCCCCTGGAGCCCTTTGAATGTCCTCAAGTAACTGGACAATGTTGAGAATGGGAGCCTTAAGTGGGGGCATCTGAGCATTTAAACTTTGGTAGTCTACTGTAAGGTGCCACTCAGTAGTAGTGGCTGTAATATGGGCCAAATGGGAGAATTGAAAGGAGAAAAGGTGTGTTTAATGACTCCTTCCTTTAATAAATCTTGAATTATGCACAAGTCTCTAAGTACCCTGTTGCAGACAATATTGGGGGGTACTTATCATCTTAGGGTAGCAGTCTTAACAAGCTTTCAGTGTGCAGCTCCCACCAGGAAGGCCAGGAATTTGAGTTTGTTCCAAGTGGCATGGCACATCAAAGATTGTTCAATAGTGACATCCAATATAAGTTGAATACTTCTACTATACTACCTGTTATGCCTTGGTAATTTAAAGGGTGCTCTTCACTTACGTTTGGAGGGGTTCCTGGGAAGCAGTATAATTTGGGCTCCAGTGTCAATGAGAGTCATGAAAGGTTGTTACGTGTTCCCCAGTGAATAATTAAAGAAGTACACACAGATGATTTTCTCCTGGATGAGGGACAAGATACAGGGAAATTATGGGTCCCTGACTCTTAAAAGTCAGGGTATTAGATCCTAGATCCTGCTGCCAGGGCTGAGGGTGATGGCATTTGCTCTCAGAGCAAGGTCAATGGTCTCTTTGAAGAGCCTACAGTGCCTGAGCAAAGATTTCTAACTTGTGTTCAGGCTGACCTGAGATTAAGAAATTAGGGACTGCTGAACTAAAGAGCTGCTAATAGGGAAGCTTGTTGGTCCTTTCTTAAGGGAGGGAGCTAGGTTGAGTTTCTACCCCTTGGTAGAGACTGATAAGGGGCCTGGAATCCTCTACAATCCCCTAGGGCTTCTCTTTAGGGTTCCTGGCTGAGGGGGCCCATATGGCTTTACTGACAGACAAGACTTGGGCTTCAGGAAAATTTGTTTTCATGTGGTAACTACAGCATCGGTGTGGTCTAATGCATGTTGTACTGTATTTGACATTTCTATGAATTCTAACAGCATGGCCTTATAATTTGGTGGGAATGCCTTTTAAGAACTCCTTAGACTCTGGCCCAAGGGTACCCACTCTGGGTTGGAAGTGGTCAGATTTTCTCTCAAATTGGAGTATTTATTTTCCAGTAATGTGTCAGGCTGTGTCAGGATAATAAGAAGCCACAGAATAAAAATGGCAATTTTCAAGTGTTAGTTTTGTCCAGTGGTGTTTAATTAATTTGTTGGTTTTTTAAAAAAATCCAACATTTTATTTTGAAATAACTGTAGATGCACGTGCAGTATTAAGAAATAATATAGAAAGATCACTTACCCTTTACCCAATTTCTACCAATGGTAATATCTTTGCATATCTATAATAATATATCACAACCAAGATATTGGCACTGATACAGTCAGGATATTTAACATTTACATCAGCACACTATTATAGCTTCACCAGCATTTGATATGTTACTATATTTTAGCCATTCCGATAGATATGTAGTGATATTTCATTGGGGTTTTAATTTGCATTTCCTTAATGATGAATGGTGTTGAACATCTTTCCATGCCCTTATTTTCCATCTCTGTTTTATTCAGTGAAATGTATATGGGTCTTTTTGCCCATTTTTCTGATTGGATTGTCTTTAACAGTTGAGTTTTGAGAGTTCTTTTTATATGTTAAATAAAAATCTTAGATATGAGATTAGCAAATATTTTCTTTCAGTCTGTAGAGAGAGTCGCCTCATGACTTCTGAATGGGAATGAAAGTTCAGTATCCCTGTGTGGTCTCCACTGACACCACAAGGAGAGGTAGTTCATTACCAGCCAATAGGGGTGAAAATAAGTCCTGGGCTTCTACTTGGTCATCTTTAATGTCATTTTGGCCTGGATGTTGAGGTGCCTCATTTTAGTTTTGCAAGGGTAGAATTCTATGCTTCTCATTTAGCCTTTGCCAAACACCCCTTTGGTGTTTGGCTGAAACAGTAATTTTTGTCTAAAAGTTTCCTATTTAGCTAATGAGAGCAGGGTTTTGTTAGAACTTTTGTCTGTACCCTTTGTTCTTGGGTTGCTGCCTTCTTTGGATCCAAATCTGGTAAGAAGAAAACCCAAGAATCTCACTACCATGTCATTCCTCAGGCCCCAAGATCCCTAGCTAGTCTGCCTTTTTCTCTAAATCTTTCAGATTCTTCTTAAGTTTGTTTTATGTATATTGTCCAGGATTTTTAGTTGGACTTAGCAGGTAGAATAGGGAAAAGCACCTCTACGCTATTATGTGGGAAGTGGCAACATATTTTTAAATATTTGTGTATGAAATCAAATGTGGCTATATCATCATATAGAATGCCAAGTTATGACTTTATAGGTCAGACACAGAAATCTGAAAGAATTTTGTATTTATGGTAGCTTTAGGCACTGATCTTATACCCCAGGAAGAGGTACTAGTTCTTTTTCTTATTCTTAGTGGTAAAATATTAGGGTATACGCTAAGCTTCTGTAACAAAGAGACCCCAAAATACAGTGACTCAACTAAGGTAGAATTTTTTCTTTCATGTGATAGTCTAGGGTAGGAATAGGAACAAGCTCCTTGAGGTCATTCAAGGACCCAAACTGGGTGGGCAGCTGAACCATCCTTTTACATGGTTTCCATGGTTGTTCTAGACATGACTATTTTCAGCTGGCCATTAACAGTGATAGTAGTGATGATGTTAGTACGGAGACAGGAAACAGAAGCTTTTGCTCACATCCTATTGGCCTAAACCTAGTCATATGGTCACACCTAGCTACAAAAGAAACTGGAAATGTTTGCAGCTTGGTGGCTATGTGACCAGCAAAGTTGGGGCAAGGGACCTCTGTTACTAACAGAAAATAGGTGAGAATACTGGAGGACAACAATAATCTTTGCTTTCATTACTTCAGTGAAAAATTTTCAGAAGAAATTAACTGCGTGGTCTTATTTATCATGAGCCATTTTGTTCTATAGTTAACTGTCTTATTCTTGTGTTCTTACCTATTTTATTGTGAAAGATCAAGAAACTGATTTTTATATAACTTTCTGTACTACTTCAATTAAGAACTTGTTTATATTTTTTAGGGTTTACAGAGTCCACGGGGAATAGGATACAAGCCAGAAGCTGTCTGTAGTCACATCATTATCGAGAGCCATGAAAAAGGATGTTTCAGGACTCTAACTGCTGAACAACCACAATTGGACAGCCATCCCTGTGTTTTCAGATCTGCTGCACCCTTAGAAATGATCAGAGGACGACTGAGTCCATCATCATGGAGAACCAGGCACTTCAACCTTTCCAACTCACTAGATCAGAGCAACCCCCATTTCAAAGTTTGGAATTCCTCCTTAGAAATGATCAGAGGACGACGGAGTCCATCATCATGGAGAACCAGGCACTTCAACCTTTCCAACTCACTAGATCAGAGCAACCCCCATTTCAAAGTTTGGAATTCCTTGAGGTTACAAAGTCATTCCCCATTTCAAAACTTTACAGCTGATGACTTCAAAATAAGCAAGGGTTTTCAAATGCCATTTCGTGAAAAGATGGACCCTTGGCTGTCAGAATTAGAACCTGCTTGTGTGCCACCTGAAGAAATGGATTGTCATTCTTCATCACAAATGCTGCCCCCAGAGTCCATGAAAAAGTTTACTACTTCCATCACTTTTTCATCTCACCGACATTCTAAATGCTTTTCAGATTCCTCTGTTCTTAAGGTTGGTGTTACCGAAGGTAGCCAGTGTACTGGAGCATCCGTAGGGGTATTTAATTCTCATTTCACTGAAGAGCAGAATCTGCCTAGAGATCTAAAACAGGAAATCTCTTCCCCTTCGTCATTTAAAATCATTAGTCATTCACCAGATAACGCTGTGACAATTTTAGCAGAAAGTAGTAGGCAAGGCCAAAAATTATCTGTTGAACAGTCTCACCAAGAAGAACAACTCTTAGAAAGACCAGGCAGTCATTCTGAGCCTAGTCCCAGTACAAATATTAACAAATTCAAGGAAGTTCATTTTTCTGATAACCATACTCTCATTAGCATGGGCAGACCAAGTTCTACACTAGGAGTAAAAGAGAAGAGTGTAACTATAACTCCAGATCTTCCTTCGCATATATTTCTTGACCAACGAGAGCTCTTTGAACAATGCAAAACCCCATATGCAGATCACCATGTGAGAAAACACCATTCTCCCCCTCCTCAAAATCAGGATTTTGTAGCTCCGAACCTTCCTTGTCGCATTTTTCTTGAAAAACGAGAACTCTATGAACAAAGCAAAGCCCCACATGTCGATCATCAGATGAGAGAAAGCCACTCTCCCCTTCCGCCAGGTCAGGATCATTTAGTTTTAGACCTTCCTTCTTCCATTTTTCTTGAACAACGCCAACTCTTTGAACAAAGCAAAGCCCCAGGTGTAGATCACCACATGCGAAAACAATATTTCCCCCTTCCTCAAGATCAGGATTACGTAGTAGAAAACAAAGAACAACATCAGCCTAAATCATACATTTCTAATATAAATGTTGAAGCCAAGTTCAATAATGAGGTCTCCCAATCAACCCCAAGTCAAAGTACATTAATAACATCTCCATCTACTCCACCTTCAAATAGAAAAGCACTTTCTTGTGTCCGTATAACTCTTTCTCCCAAGACTCCTTCCAAGTTGGATAGTGGAACCTTAGATAAAAACTTGATTACATTGGATCCTGCTTCTAAAACAAGGATGAATAGTGAGTTTGACTTTGACCTACAGAGTAAATCTTCAAGATCATTGGAACCAACCTCCAAATTACTGACCAGTAAACCTATAGGTCAAGAATCTTTAGATTTTCTAGGATCTAAATCTTCACCGGACTTTCAAGTCGTACAGTCTCCTCTTCCAGCTAGTAATACTCAGGACTTGAAAACAATACCTTTTCAGAATAGCCAGATAGTAACCTCAAAACAAACACAAGTGAACTTTTCAGATTTGGAAGGATATTCCAGTCCAGAAGGGACTGCGGTATCTGCAGATCGGTGAGTCTCATTGTAATGATAAGCAAGCTGATGGAATTTATGATAAAGGGTTTTAAATACTTAAGCAAATGTAGTTGGGGGTGAAAGGCAGTATGATTCTCTTAAGGGAAGTTGTATCTCACTAATCTGTTAGAGGTCTTTCAGGGGATAAATATAAAAGTAATAGAGAACATCAGAAAGTAATGTATTTATACTTTCCTGGGGCCTTTGACAAGTCTTGGCATCAAGTATTTTAAACTGAGTTACTCTGAGAAGGATCTTTGATCATCCAGTGGTAAAATTTACTCATTCCGTATTTATTGTGTTGGAGATACGCTGAAGGCCAGGCTTTGGGACAAGATGCATGCACATGCTCACTCTGCTGCACATGCCCTTTCTCTTTCTCCCTCTTTCTTTATTTCCATTTCTTGATTCCTCAAATATTTAGTATTTACAATTAAAAAAAAAAAAAAGTAACTTCCCAGTGGAGAAGTCCGGCAGACATTACAGTAGCCAAGTGATCAAGGTTAACACCACCAGTAATACATATCAACATAATGTACCTAATGCGATGCCCTACTTCACAGTGTATTGTAGGAAAGGAAACCCAATTCAGGGTTAAATGCATTAGATTTGTATTATTTATCTTAATTTTAAGACTGCCGTCATTAATTCAATTTTACATGAATGAGTCTCTGATAAGAGACTCATAACATTCTATTATGGCTAAACAGAACTGCCCTGTGTGTTTAATGTTTCCATCTTCTGGTTGAGAAGGCAGCAAGTCATAATGGAGAGCACTGGGTTTAGAAAGGAGGAAGGGAAAAAATATACTTTAAGTATCCACATGTGGCAGTCATTGCAATGAGGGACTTATATAAATTGTCTCATTTAATACTCATGATAAACCCTTTGAAGTAAAATGGTAGTATCTGTATTTACTCTCTGGGAAACAGACATGGACATTGCTGCTTTGTCAGCAAATAGCATTGTCTCAAATACTGCTGTTTGTAAGCAGCAGATTGGGCATTCAAATGCAGTCTGTTTAATTAAAGCAAAAGTTTTTCACCACATGATATTATTGTCTCTCTGAATTTTGAAACCCTACTTTCAGCTCTAATACCAACTATCCTTTTGGACAAGTCATTTAATATCTTTAGCACTCATATATGGATGATGGTGGAAGGGAAAGGGCTGGAAATCTGAAAGGTCCCTTATAGCTCTGAAAGTAATTGAGAATTGAATTGGGGCAAAACAAAAATCAAACAAGGTCAATTTTGGTTTCGGTATTATAAGTAGGAGGGTCCTGTAGAGATCATTACTGATAATTTCTTTTGAAAAATATCTAGAAATTTAAAGATCGACAAGTTTGTATACAATACTTAAACTCATCAAAGTGATAAAATGCCTAGTTATTGGAGCCGAGTTCCTCAAATGATAAGAAAATTTAGGTGAGTATAAATATGAACTAATAATAATGCCATTTGTTCATAATGTACTAAATACCAGGCATTGTAGTGGTTGCTTATGTCTTTTTATACTAAGTATAATCAGAGATAGATAGCATTAACTCAATTTATAGATTTTAAAAAAACAATACTTAGAGAAAGTAAATGTTTGCCTAAGGTCATATGGCATTGAGTGTTGGAGGTGGCATTTGAACCTAGGTTTGTCTGACTCCAAAGTCTATAGATAATTCAAACTGTATATACACATACACATTCATCTGAGTATATATACAGTCGTGCTCCACATAATGACGTTTTGGTTAATGGTGGACTGTATATATGGCCGTGGTCCCATAAGATTTTAATGGAACTGAAAAATTCCTATTGCCTAGTGACATCTCTGACTCCAGAGGGTTTGCCAAGGATGAGGAGGCTACAAAATCAACCAGGTCGTGGCTGAGATGACAAACTTTAACCTGGGTGTGAATGAAGATGACATTGAGGAGCTCCTAGAGGTGGTTCCTGGGGAATTGACTAATGAGAAGTTGTTGGAACTGGAACAGGAATGAATAGTTGGAGAAGAGGCAAGATAAAAAGAAACTCTAGGAGAAGAAAAAGAAGAGGAACTCCCAAGAAAATTCACAGCGAAGGGTTTAGTAGAAGCTTTTGCAGATCTCAGCAAGCTCCTAAAAATTTTTGAAAACATGGACCTCAACATTTAAAGGTTTTCATTAATAGAGAGGAACGTTCATGGTGCATTGTCTGCTTACAAGCAAATCTATGATGAAAAAAGAAACCAAGCAAGCCACCATAGACGTATTTCCAAAAAAGAGGGACACTCCCTCAAGAAGAGTTACAGACATGTCCTTCAGGAGATACTCCAGAAGAAGGCATTGTGATAGGAGATGATAGCTCCATGCCTGTTACTGCCTTTGAAGACTTTCCAGTGGTACAGATATGGAGGTGCAAGACGGTGATATTGATGATCCTGTGTAGACCTAGGCTAATGTGTGTGTTTTTGTCTTAATTTTTAACAAAAAAAGTTAAAAAAGAATTTTTAAGTAGAAAAAGCTCATAGAATAAAGGGATATATGAAGAAAAATATTTTTGTATAACTGTACAATATTTGTATTTTAAGCTAAGTGTTGTTGCAAGAGTCAAAAGTTAACTTTTTTTATAGGAGTTTGTAAAATCAAAAAGTTATAGTAAGCTGGGGTTAATTTATTATTGAAGAAAAATTTTTAAAAATAAATTTAGTGTAGTTTAAATGTACAGTATATATAAAGTATACAGCAGTGTACAGTAATGCCCTAGGCTTTCACATTCACTCACCACTCACTCACCCAGAGCAACTTCCAGTCCTACGAACTCCATTTATAGTAAATGCGCCTTTTTAGGTATACCTTTTCTTTTACACTGTATTTTTACTGTACCTTTTCTATATTTAGATATGTTTAGACATATTTATCATTGTGTTACAGTTGCCTTCAGTATTCAGTATAATATTCTGTACAGGTTTATAGCCCAGGAGCAATAGGCTACACTGTATAGCCTAGGTGTGTAGCAAGCTATACCATTTAAGTGTGTATAAGTGCACCCGATGATGTTCCCCACAAGGACGAAATCGCCTAATGATGCATTTTGCAGAATGTATCCCAGTCGTGAAGCAGTGTGTGATTGTATATACATAAAACATGTTCAAGTATATATGTATTAAATATTTTTAAACTTTTATTTTGAGATAATTTTTGACTTAAAGGGGAGTTGCAAAACGTAGTAGAAAAACTTCCTGTATTATCTATTGATGTGTAAGATATTACCCAGAAATATTGCAGCTCAAAACAATGAATATTATCCCATAGTTTCTGTAGGCTTGAAATCCAGGCATGGCTTAGCTGAATCTTCTGGCTTAGGGTCTCTCACAAGATTCCAGACACAGTCATTGGCCACAGCTGTGGTATCATCGCAAGGCTTGACTGAGAAGCTGTGCTTCCAAGCTTGCTCCCATGGCTCTTGGCTAGAGACATCAGTTCCTTCTATAAGGCAGCTCCATTAAGACAGCCAGTCTTCCTTCACAGTAAGAATGCAAGAGAGGATGCCGAGTCAAAAGCCACAGTCTTTTTGTAACCCGACCTTGGAAGTGAATCTCACCACTTCTGTCACATCATTATTTCTGGCCCACCCTGGGGGGCGGGAGCGGTTGCGGTTAGGGATTACACAAGGGCGTGAATACCAGGAGGCAAAGATCACTGGGAGATAACCTATAGGTTGCCACATGCCCTTTACAAAAACTTCCCCTTATGTTAACATCTCACACTGACATAACCATAAAACATTTACCCAAACTAAAAAATTATCCTTCATATAAAATTATAGCTAAAGTATAGACTCAATTTGGATTTCACCTGGTTTTTCCTGCAAATGAACCTTCTCAGTTTCAGATCTAGTCCAAGGTCCCACCTTGCACTTCAGTTATTATGCTTCCTAGTCTCCAATCTGTAGCAGTTTCTCATTCTTTCCTTATTCTTCATGACATTGACACATTGAATAGAATTAGTTATTTTTGAGAAAGTCTCTATTTGGGAGACTTTATATTGATATGCATTACTGGTGATATTAACCTTGATCACTTGACTAAAGTGGTATCTATCAAGATTCTCCACTGTAAGGTTGCTGTTTTCCCTTTGTTAATAATAAATATTTGAGGGAGAGATTGATAGACTATGCAAATAACCTGTTCTGCTTAAACTTTGATCACTAATTTTAGCATCCATCAGTGGCTCTTACCTGTAACAGTTATTACTCTGCTATACTAATAGAGTTTTTATATTTCATTCCTTTTACGTTTATTAATTGAAATTATTCTGTAAGCTGGTGCTGATTTTCATCCCTCCCATTCATTTATTCCTATAGTTATTTATGAACATCAGTATGGACTCATACCACCATAGCGTTAGCTAACACCTCTATTATGTCACGTAATTACCATTACTTCTTTGTGGTGAAAACATGTAAGATCCACTGTCGACAGCTTTCAAGCACTTTATTGTTAACTATCATCACAGATCCATGCATAGAGCCCCAATATTTACTCCTCTTCTAATTGGAAGTTTGTACCCTTTGACCAATATCTCCCCATTACCCCCACTGCCCAGCCCCCTGATAACTAACATCCTACTCTGTTTCCAGGAGTTTGGCTCATTTAGATTTCACATGTAAGTGGTATCTACGGTTCTTGTCTTTTTTTGCCTGACTTATTTTTAATTAGCATAATGCCCTCAAGGTCCATCTGTGTTGTCACAGATGACAGGATTTCCTTCTTTCTAATGGCTGAATAATATTCCTCTGTGTGTGTGTGTGTCTATGTGTCTGTGTCTTTGTGTCTATGCCACATCTTATTTATCCATTCACTCATTGATGGACACTTAGGTTGTTTCTATATCTTGGCTATTGTGAATAATGCTGCAGTAAACATGGGAGTGTAGCTATCTCTTCTATATTCTGTTTTCATTTCCTTTGGATGTGTATCCAGAAGTGAGATTGCTGGATCATATGGTAATTCTATTTTTAATT